AAAAGACCACATATAAATCTAGAGTGCATGCTGCAGAGACCCAACTCATGGGAGATGCTCAGTAAGCGATACTTGCTGCTATGATGATGACTGCGAGGACAGGAAGCAGAAATACCAGAAGGCAGAAGAGACGCAGCAGCTGTTACTAACTACACCGGTACCTGCTGCTTCCCTGAAGAGTTCTGTTTCCCATTACCTCTCCATCCTGGCGCTCTGTCCTGGAGCCTCACAAACACACGTGCTTTGCCTTCTACTTGTCTATGCGCATCTGTACCCTACAACAGCAGTGCCGCCTCCTTGTTGCTACTCTCCACACACAGTTCTCTTGTCCTCCGCTGCTTCTCGGGGAAACAAGAGACTAGTTTCCTCCCTACCAAGAGATCCCTTCTGACATGATCCATGCTCTTCTAGAATGAGGACCAGAGCACTACAGAGTATTTTCACAATATGTCCACTAGCTAGGTACTGGGGAGAAGCTTGGTACCCTGCATTCTCCCACTTACAAATTACAGCATAGAGTATGATGTGGTTTTTTCTGAATGCAAGCAAACTTCATGTAATAATCAAAATAGAATAATTAGCATATCTATCACTCCGTTGAGCTAACATTTTGTATTGAGATTTAAAAATTACCTTATATATCATACACTTGAGTCACAGAACATGGAACAATCCAGCTGCTGCTCAGCTGGAAGCCTTGTCCTTTCTGCTGGCTGTCAGAGTGCTCCAGGGCCTCGTCAGTCTCACCTGGTAGTAACCCTGCACTCTGCATTAACAGCCTGCCTCGAAAGCTATGCCCGTGGTACAATAGTGCCACAGATGTTTTAGCAGACACCTCAAGCTCAAGGATGTGTGAGGAAGATGGAGGGTAAAGATTATAAAAACAAAAGATGGTCAAAGAGTCAGTGGCTTTCTAGATACAAGGCAGGTGCCTATATGAGCCCACAGGAGTCGTGACAGCTTGCACAAGACCTAAGCAAAGCCAAGCCAGACAAAATCCCAGCATGGAGGGGAGATGGGCACAGTGCCCCAGCCCTAGCTGATGGTTGGCATTTGATTGTTGCTGGGAGAAGAAAGGTTGGTTTTCTCTAATGGTGTGAGACCTGGTATGTGGACCACACTACAGGGCAGGCCCCATTGCCGGAGTAGTCAACCATCACAGACTGGATGTGGTGTGTTGACAGGGAACAAGTGGGAGTACATGCACATAAAAGTGGATGGGCAGGAAGTGGTAAGGAGTAGGGAAAGGCCAAGAAAGTGATTGGTATGATCAAGATACATTGCATGAAGGTCTCAAAGAATTGATTTTAAAAAATCTTTTTTAAAGCCACTGTGAAAAAAAATCTCTCTTCTGGTTATATAGAACTATATAATAGTCACACTACTAGACAGTGGAACACCAAATGGCTATTTAAAAAAAAATTCAGTAACAGTGGGGTTTAATTTAATCTCTTATCTTTTCATCTGTTAAAATAGGAGTAACTCTATTTACAAGGCTAGCATTTGGATCAAATGATATTAAGTGTATGTTTCACAGTGTTTTTATCTCTATCATGTTATCTATATCCTTGTTAACACTGGCCTGAAAGTCCTGCTGAGTTCAGGAGCTCTACAGGATAGGTAGGTTAGCAGCTACAATACTAAAGCATGGTTCCAAGCATGCTTTAATCCCAGCACACGCAATCGGGAGGCAGAGGCAGGTGGACTGTTGGGAGTTCGAGGCTAGCTGGGTCTACATCGCAAGTTTCAGGACAGCCAAGGCTACATAACAAAGAGACTCTGCCTCAGAAAGAGAAAGAGAGAGACTGACTGAATACAGATGTGATTTCTGGCTTACTATCTGTGTGGCCTTGAACAAATTCTCAGCCTTTCTAAGCCTGTTTCCTGGCCTGTCAAGTAGAAATAATAACACCTAGCTCAAGAACCATGGTAAATATTAAAGGAGTTAACATTTTCAGTGTGTAGTGAAAGTTTATAAATAATTGGATATTAATGTTTTCGCCAGTTATACTACTATTGTACTAATAGTTTGTATTACTAAGTGAATGGATTAAAAGAGAAAAAAGACTAGATAGAAAAAAAGGAACATTAAAGGCAAATACATAAAATGAACTTTAAAATGTGGGGTTGGGATGTCCTCATAGGGGCCCTGTGAGTGTGACTGCCCCAGCAAGCTCTGTTTATTTCAGAGCAATTCATTGGCTATAGGAGCTCACTGCAGCTAAAGAAGGAGATCTCAGAAGTGGCGGTGTTACTTACAGGGAAAGGGCAGCACTCCTGCTGGGCACCGGGCTAGAAACAGACAGCCAGAAGCACCGAGTGAGAGGTTAGAGTTGCTTTCCAGGAAACACTTGAGCCAGTAATGGCTGTCCATCTAGGAGCGCTCCAGCCTGGGCTGCCCCGAGGCTTCATTGACGTTGTCTCACTTAGTTATCACACTACCTGCAAAGAGAAACGAGGGTTCTCATGTTACACATAGGAAAATGGACTCTGGTTGTTTAACTAGTTCAAGATCTTTGCTTCACTTTTTTTGGTTTTTTGAGACGGGGTTCCTCTGTGTAACCTTGGCTGTCCTGAACCCATTCTGTAGACCAGGCTGGCCTTGAACTCACAAGCTGTAACCCACTGCCTGGCTTACAGCTTTACTCTTTTTAACCCTGACTCTGTAGACAGACTTCTAACTGTAGGCCTTAAACAAGTGGCAATGGCATTGAGATTCAGTTGTCTCACCTCTGCAGACTGGCATGGTGGTTATTGTACGGACTAATTGAGAAATGTACTGGAAGCACCTGGCTTGTAAGAGATGTCCAAGAAAGTTTTGTTTCTCCTTTTCAAATCCCAGTTGTCCCACGTAAAGTGACTAGAGAAAATCACTTACTATTTCTTGGCTACTGTTTTATCAATGACAACTATACTTTTAACTAAGAGTTATAAATGTCTTCCCTTGCACATCTACCATCTCAGTTGGGTGCCCACAGATGTGATGCTCCAGCTTCCCAGCCTGCTTTGCTTCCTAACACATCTTTCTACCTGTGCTCACAACTCTGGCACCAGTATGGTTTTGGTTTCTCCCAATAAGCATTATGTTTACAAATCACAGATAACAAAGTAGAAGATGCCGGAAAAGCTCGGGCATGTTAATTAAGAACAATAGCAGAAGCAGCTGGGCAGAAATGCCAGTGTTGGAAGCAGTGACAGCATAGCTCTGTTTGTTGACAGAAGCCAGTGCAGTATTGTACATTAATTGGGGAAGTGGGTAAACATTTGCCAGCAGCTTGCCCTCCCTGCGCATTGGAAGATAGACAGTAGGCTGGGCCCTCCCTTCCACCTTGCCTACCCTTCTGCCCAGCACACAGATACTAGTAGCACAAGATTTTCCCTGGGTTCTTTATAAGCAGAAAGGATGCTGTGGGTAGTTATGTCTCCTTTAAGACCCTCCAGGGCATCCCAAGTTTCCATATGGATACACTGAAGACAGTCTTCCTCCATATCAGCTTACCAGTCTGTCTTTGACACCCATCCCTGGCACCTAGAGGGTCCCTTTCTCTAGCTGTAAGAAGAAAGCAGAGCCATCTCTTTATGAGTGGCTTGAGTTGAGCAGAAGTTGAGCAGACAAATTACCTGCCTGTAATATTTACTCAAGGTCCCAGAGCTCATCTTAATAGCAGAGCAGCAGCTTTAGGTAAAGCTAGAAAGTACCCATCCATCCTTCACACACTCAAAGCAGCCCATTGCCCACATGGCCATTTCCCTTTGCAGTTGCTCTCATACACAGTGTATTTAGTTCATCTATGCTGATTATGGTTTTCTCATTTAATCTTCATCAGTTCTATAACACAAGAGTCACAAAGCTGATAGCCTCTGCTGTTGTGACTTAAACCAGAGGCTTCCTATTTTCAAAGCCTGTATCCTTCCCACTACCCTGGTATTGTTTAGCCTTTCAGAAGTCATGACCCCTTTTGATAACTGTTTTGTTTCTTTTTCTTAGGTTTATGAAACCTTCACATGCTATCTCTGCCCTGGCTGAGGGAAGGCAAAATCTAACTAAGAACCCTCATGTAGCATAGCCAATTGTACCAAGATTTCATCTAGCTTTATAGTTCAGTAGTTGATTTTTTTTAATTTGTAAAATATAATTATATTATGTGCTCGCCACATTTTTTCAAACTAAGTATACCTCCCCCCCCCAAAAAAAAAAAAAAAAAGAGATAGTGATATATCTCCCTAGGGGCCTTCCTGGGATATAGCATCCTTGGACACAGTGGAATGGCCATGCTGTGTTTGCTGCATGTCATTTCAATGGAAGGGCCTAGCCCTTGTCCCTCCAAAGGTTTAGGTGTTGTCCTAATGATCAAAACAGTTAAGCAAGTAGCGGTCTCAGCTATGCCATTCCTCAGTTTAACCACGTGTATCTGTGTCTTCCCCAAAGGGACCAATCCAGGAAGTGGCTAAGTCTTAGCCTTGAGGTCAGTACTAACACCTCTACTAGATGAAATGAAATTATAGGCTGGGCAGTGGTGGTGCTTGTCTTTAATCCCAGCATTTTGGAGGCAGAGGCAGGTGGATCTCTGTGAGTTCGAGGCCAGCCTGGTCTACAGAGTGAGTTCCAGGACAGCCAAAAAATTAACACAGAAAAGCCCTGTCTCAAAAAAACCCCTAGAAAGAAAGAAGAAAGAAAGAAAGAAAGAAAGAAAGAAAGAAAGAAAGAAAGAAAG